AAGGTAAAAAAGTTCTCAGTCTTTGAAAATAATTTTATCTTTTATAGTTTAATTACACTGCGAAAACTGTTTCTCTGAGACCCCTAATTGATAGTTAAATCTTACATTCAATTTCTTGATTTGTATCAGCATTTCCTTTATCTTCAGGCACAACCATTTTCCAAAAATTAGCATTTCCCTTTCAGCAAGAACTATCAGTCCTTCATAGTGATTATGGCTTCCCAGCTCCTCCGTCCCATCATCCCACTTGGCAAAAAACCTCAGGGATAAACACAGGAAGTCTATACCATGATTGGAGAGAGGGCTGCCCTGCATTTTCCAGACTGGCAGGTGAACAGTCCATTTTTAAACAACTATTTAAAAGAAATTCCCATAAAGTGAATTTACTCTTTTCTCAGAAAATCCACCAGAGCACCATGGGGCAGGAAGTCTTCTACAGAAATGGAAACACAGAGCTAAACCAACAGCCAACTCCAAAGCAGAAATGCAGTCATGTGTTCAGGTTGTAAATCTCCATGGAAAACCTGTGTCTCTACCACTATTTAGCAGCAGAGTCTCTAGTTACTTTATTACAGCAGAAGGGATTAAAAAGAGCCATGGATCCAACTCACACAGGTCTTAGAGACAGCCATATAGCCATAAATGCTTTAGTATACTTCTTGGCTCATTCCATGAGCAGTGCTACCCACTGCTACCACAAAGAGGGTGTTGGAATTGGAGAGAAGAATGAGATCCGTATTTGCTGGCTTGAAGGGATGAAAGGCTTTGAATCATTCATGTCTGGAAAGACCAAGATATTCTCCCTCATCATGCTGATTTGAGCTGCTTCTCACTCTCCAGGTTATAACCTCCCACTCCTGATCAAGACCCTGCCAGACTCCTTAGAGGAAACTTTTTCTTTCTTTTTTTTTTTTTAAGTAAAAAGGACACTTGTGCATTTTCTATCAGTGTGTATATACAATGTCACATCTTACATGTTAAATACAGAATCATTAATAGAAAGAAGTATACTGGGGTTGACAAGGTTGATTCAGACTGATTCTTCAGTTCTACAATTTATATGTATCAGGAAAAAGCAGGAAAATGGTTTGAGTGTATCCGTTCTGAGGGTGGGAGAAATGGACCTGGTAACCTAAAACAACCTCTTTAATATTTTATATTTCATAGAGGGTGATGACAATGTAAGTAAAGAAACTGCTTCTGATGAAACAATACTGTTACATATTAAAGTTCTTCTTTTTATATTTTTTCCCCAAATGTATTTTTTTTTGTGGAGCACTTCATAACAGAGTAGTGGCAACTTTCAGAGATTCATGATAAATGTTCAAAAAGAACAAAGAAAATATACCATCCATATGGACTTTTATATCCATCATCCCAAACACTCTTTAAACATGGGATTGTCATTCCTATTTTATAGAGATGAATAAATCCATCTTCATTTGTGCTATTTTATAATCTAGATAGAACTAAGAATGTAGAGCTGCCTTAGGTTTATATGAAGAGAGGAAGAAATGACAGCACCTATTGCCCAACTGTGTGTATGCAATGATGCTGAGGAACACCACCATTTAAAATGAGTCAGCACATGAACTTCCTGGAGGTACCAGGAGGAAGTAGAGGAGTGAATACAGCATGACCCAAGATCCTCTAGCAGCTCTTTGCTGTTACCTCTTACTCAACCAAACCTAAATTGCTAACCCCTCCTGACTTTTATAAATAAGCAACCCGAAGCCCAGTGATCAAGTGATCTTGAAGGTTCCAGAGCTAGCTGTTGGTAGAGGTGAGACCAGAACCCACATCTTCTAACTCCCATCTCAATGTTCTGTCTAATATGCCACCATCTAATATGTATTACAGATGGCAGTGACACAAATCACAATGGCAGCCTCTACCAACTGGATGCTTATACAGGACCAGAGAGAATAGTTAAGTGTTTTATAGGAATAATTTCAGTTAAACCTCAGAATTACAGATCTCCAAGGTAGATGAGGAAAAGGAGGCTATACCAAATTACCTTTGTCTGTTCATCAGGTTTAATGAAAATTCCAGTCATTAAATATGAATGGCTGATCCATCTGCTTATCGTTAAAGTTTATTCCGTATACTTTAGTGGCTTTACAGAAATAGATTTTATCAGAAAAGTGACACAAGTAGTCTGCCCTCTCCTATTTCTTCAATGCTAGTTCTTAAGTTTCTCAGAAGAATGAAAAGCTTTACTCAGTCCATGTCGTCTGCTTTGAGACACAAATTTGTGTTGAAAGAGAAAACACCATTACCCAAGCATAAATAAAATAAATTTCTTTAAATAATGAAATTACAGGGATCCAGGGGCCTAAACATGGACGTGCACCTGAAGAACCTCTGGATCTGTGGGCCTAAACATGGACACCTGAGGAACTTCCGGTCCTAGAGCCTAAACATGGACATGCACCTGAGGAACTTCCGGATTGGGGGCCTAAACATGGGTGTCTGAGGAACTTCCAGATCTGGGGGCCTAAAAATGGGCGTGCACCTGAGGAACTTCCAGATCCAGGGGCTTAAACATGGACGTGCACCAAGGAACTTCTGGATCCAAGGGCCTAAACATGGACGTGCAACTGAGCAACCTCTGGATCCGTGGGCCTAAATATGGATGCCGGAGGAACTTCTGGTCCTAGAGCCTAAACATGGACGTGAACCTGAGGAACTTCTGGATCCGGGGGTCTAAACATGGATGTCTGTGGTACTTCCAGATCCAGGGGCCTACACATGGACGTGCACTTTTGGAACTTCCGGATCTGGGGGCCTAAACATGGATGTCTGAGGAACTTCCGGTCCTAGAGCCTAAACATGGACGTGCACCTGAGGCACTTCTGGATCCGGGGGCCTAAACATGGACGTGTCTCTGGAACTTCTGGGTCCTTGTGCCTATAAAGGGAAGGGAGTGACTCTCAGAAGGGATGTGGTCCATGAAGAGGAGCAGAGCATGGGGCCTGTTGGGCGGCAGACTGAGCTGTCGCACCCTGAACTTGATGATGGTAGCCTCACTTCCCGGCCTTCCCTTGGGTGTCACTTCCTCCCCTTCCAGGCGGTGCCAGGGAGGAAGTGAAACCAGGCACAGGGGCCAGGCCCTGAGGAGGGACTCCGTCTTTCTCCTCGCTCAGCCAGGCGCCTGGCCTGGCTGCGGACAGGGACATCTTGTGATACTGGCTGCCTCCTGCATCCCTGCCCCAGGACCTCAGGGACCACAGGCGGGGACAGTCGTTGATTCTCCCCTGGCCACTGACCCTCATCCCTGGGGTCTGCCCAGGGAGAGCTCTGTCTCCCAGAGGGTCAGGGGGCCCCTGTGACCTGCTGCTCCTTACCCACCAACATCCTGGGCGAGCACAGGTCAGGACACCAGACGCTATTGAGAGTGACATCTCCTAGATGGGTGGCTGGGGACTTTGCCTCTGTCCCTAGGCCTCGGACACCAGATGATCCCCCCTGGAGACAGAAAATAACCCCACACTGCCCAAGACTTATTTTTAAGCTTTGGATTCTGAAATTTTCCTGCTGCCACCTTCTTTGTGAAGCCAATTTTTCAACAGAGACAATATTCCGGGAGGGGGGGTGGGGTGACAACAACATGGAGCTAATCAAACCAAGCTGACACATCTGGTCCTCCAAGAGAAATCTGTATTGGAGGGAGAACAGCCATTCTCAACTGGCGAAATAGTGAAGTTCCCTTGTCCTTATTTTGTGTAAGAAAAATAAATAATCTGATGTTAACTCATTAAATTATTTTTGATGAGTGCTTGGCTAAAAAAAAAAAAAAAAAACAATGAAATTATAGTCTCCCAAATTTGGTGCATTAAGTGTCCAATAATAATTAGGTATCTGATTCAGCACCACCTTTCACAGATTGTGATACACAGAAGGTGGCTAACGAGGCTCCCTGAGTTTGCACCATTCACCTCTCTCTGGGTTTGTATTTTCAGTGTCCTCTCCCTGCTTTTTTTTGTCTGTTGATGCTAAGTATGCATTCTGAAATGTCTTGCAATTGCTAAGAAGAAAACTTGCTAGATCTCTTAAAGTTGGTTGTATTCAAACTTACAATGCTATCTTTGAATACCTATTATCACCTTATATTACTAATATAACAGGTTTCTTAAAGTTACCTCTACTTATATTTAAGATGATATTTTGGGGAACCTAGTTTCATTAAACCTCTCCAAATTTAAGTTTTCTTATTAGTAAAATTAGGAGGGGGGGAGGGCGCAGAGAGAGAGAGAGAGAGAGAGAGAGAGAGAGAGAGAGAGAGAGAAGCAATTTGAGATTCTTTTTACTTAAAAAACTCCATAGTATTACTGTTGATTGGGAAAAGGATTCCACTCCTCTTGTGTTCATTTGCTCCCTCCTTTTCTTTTGCTCCAGCTATCTCCCTATAAGCTCAAATGCTTCTTTATTTACAAATATTGCTTCATTAGTCTCTTGCCTTTATTAGGAGCATTAGGAAAGCAAAATTTTTCTAGTTCAAGGGAATGTATGATCTTGTTATGAATGAGACTCCAGTGCAATGAGAATTCACATGGAATTAAGATACATACAATGTAAACAGAGGTATGAAGCACATTCACATGATTTAGATTCTTTAACAACTACAATGATAATGTTTAATAAAGGGATTCTAAGTACTTTTTAACATGAACTTAAAGCTACAGCTTCCAAAAACTTGTAGACAATGGTCACAGGTATTTGATGATCAATGTTGCTTTGGTAATGCTAGCAAAAGCTCTGCTTTTGTTGTGTATTGTATTTTAAAATACAGATATATATGTATATATTTTAAGGATGACCAGGAGGATTTTTTTTCTTCCCTCCCTCAACATTGATAGGAAAGGAATATATCTTTATAGATTTAGTCTATCTATATCTTTTCCTCTATCCATCTACCTATCTACCTACCGACCTATATAATCCAAAGTCTCTCCAAAAGCCTGGTAGTGGCAGAAAATAAATGTTGTTTTCTATTTTACCTGGGAAGAGCCGTGATTTTCCCCCATTTCTCCACACAGAATCTTCTTGGGCCATTACTCCCTCGGAGAGAAGCGAATCCTTCGTAGGGAATGCTGGATGTGCCTGTAACAAACTATCAATGCAAGAAAATAGAAGGGAAAGGTAAAGCCAGTGAAAAGTGGCCCAGAAACACACTGCATCATTCATGGGCAGAGCTCCTAAGGAGGAGCAGGTGGGAGTACCAAACTTCATAGGCATATAGTAACACAACACATAAGCATGACGAGAAGAGCACCAAGAAGGGACTGTGCATTATCAAGGAAAGTGGGATGTGGAGGGCTTATAGAAAATAAAGCACCCTGTGCAGCTAACCAGCTGAGCTGCTAAAACCAGGCATATTTCCATTATAGATGAATAGGGTAGGTATATCAACTAACTTAATCTACTTAGTATTGGTCCCTAAAGTTGAGGTGAATTAAAAAATAGATTTCTGGGTCTATAGACTCGAGGCTCAGATTCTTGGTCCAAAGGAGCCAAGATCCAGTCTAATTGTAAGGCTCTGCCTGAGCATCCACGAGGCTTTCCCGTGTCTGGTAACTCTTAAGCTGCAACCAAATAACAATTGCCCTAGATAACTATAAATACTACAAAAACAATTTTCTCAGAGCTCTTGAATGTTATTGTTTTCCAAATTTGTAGAAAGTTAGATGAAGGAAAAGAAATGACTCTTCATCAACAAACTGGATCCCTTCTTATGGGATTGAACAATCTCTTTCTGCTCCTAGGTATACTGGCTGCAGAGGACCCTGCTGGAGGGACCCAACTGTCTTTAAGGCAAAGGTTGTCCCTAGGATTTTGGGACTAGAGTTGACACTTCCTTACAACTTTCATATAATGCCTTGACGAGGCTGGGGATGTTCTGATGGCGATGAAGTCATAACCACGCAATCCGAGGGGTGTGGAAATGGTATATCCCACGCTTCTATATAAAAGTGTGTATTCATGAAAAATACTTAGAAATTGCTAAAGATATGTATTTCCAACAATAATTATATCATTGCACTAAAAATGTTACCTAATGGCATCTTACCTGTAACAACCTTAGTCGTTGTTCATTGTTGAATCTTTCCACTGCAGCCCAGAACCACCGAATTACAATATGATTGTCATGGTAACCTATCAAACCAATAATGAACACCATGTTACTTTGACTCTTCTGCCTTAACCCACTAAGATACATGACGACAACAACAAAACCCCAGACATAGGTCATCATCTTGGATTCTTTAAATGTTGTTTGTAATTTAAGACTAAGGAATAGCACTGTAAATGTGATCATATGAGTGTCAAAAGTTAAATAAAAACAACATAAATGAAACCAAGAGGTCTCTGTTTTTATTTAGTGGTCACTAAATGAAAACGAGTGGCAAGAAGAACAACAAATGAGTTATTTTAGCGTATCATTTCTGAAAAATATATTTGCTGTTACTGGAACTGCTTAACTCTTTGGGTCATTCAGATAAGAAATAATTTTCAAGTACCACTTGGTATGCTCTGTACAAAGCTTGGAGGGTACAGTGGCAAAGAAAACAGACCCTCACAGGGCTTCTGGCAGAGGATAAAACATGTTAATTAAATCATTTGTATAAAGAAATACATAACTATGAGCTCTTCTTAAAGTCATATATATTTTAAAACCAAATTACTTTCATTTTAATTTATTAATCAAAAGAGACAAGAGACCTTTAATTCCTCCAACAAATAAATCCTAATTAATCATCAACTAAATTTTACTTTTATTCCATACTTTAGTAGAATTTAATGAAACATCAAAATTATCATCTCACAGGTAGGTTAAGGCAGTGGTTATGGGTTCCCAAATCATTCAGTGAAAAAATAATTCAGTTTAGAGACAACACTGGCAAGGATAGGCATAATTAATGATTCAAACTAATTGATAGTTATATATTATGTGCACAAAAGCTACTTTAAATTCTGAGTCAGCAGTCCCCAAAAAGTAGGTGAGTAGATACTCTTTTAACCAGAATGTTTTCATTTTAAGGTTTGCCATTTTATTTGTGATGTATAGTCCCATTTGGAGAAGAAAGAGATCCAAGAGAGAGAGAGTCAATAAAAATGGATTTGGCATGGTGACACACAGGTTGCATGTCCAGTCTACTTTGATAAGGACTATTTGGTACTGAGCAAACAGTAGCTCTATCTATAAAATAAGTGCATTATAGCATTAAAGTTTTTTGACCTCATGAATCAGCCCTTTTTGCTTCCACTTTTGCTATTTGTACTAACCCTTTTTTGGTAGGAGAAGGAGTGAATGTGTCTCATATTCTCTCCAAACAGCTGCCATATGAACATATGGCCAGTGGCAGCTTAGCTGCTTTTTCATTCAGTGCCAACCAGTTGGGTTAGCAAGCGTGGCAGCTGAGTAGAGGGCCCTTTTCCTGCTCCTTCCTAAGGTTCTCATTTGATAAGATTTATAATAACCATATAAATAGTTCCTTAATTAGTTGGATATAGTGAGTAAAACTTTATACTGTGTGAATAAAAATATGGTTGATTTGATTAACTGCATTGCTATTAGATTCTCCTGGGATGAAGGAATGAGTAAATAATATTTATGGTACAGTGCAAGTTACAACAGCCAAAGCCATATACGGATCATACGTAGGGCCAACTGAAAAACTTATTCCAGCAATTAGATTCAGAAGCAGCAGCAATGGAAAATGCAATTTAATACAGCCTTTCAGAGAAAACAGTCAAGCAAAGCCAGCCACAGAAGAGGCAAGAGCTGGAAGAGCCAGGGGTGGGCAAAACCAAAAGCAATTTAGCAATACTAAGGCATTTTTTTTTTACAGCAACCATAAAACTGTTGTTGTTTTAAATGTCTGTTTCAACTTACAAATAACTAGAGATCTGTTCAATTCTCAACTTACTCTGCCAAATAGTTAACAGTGATGCAAAGCTTGTATTTTTTACTATCTGGGCTTAGAACAACTGCTAACCTCTTAGATTTTGAGCTAAAAGCAACAACAACAACAAAAACTACCACCAAACAAAAAAATAACTCTGAACCAGAAAACACTGGTATTTGTGATGAGTTTCTGAAAACTTTCTAACTACAATATATTTCAGAAAATGTATTCTTTCTTTGATTAAAATTATTGAACAAAACTCTGAACTTATTGAACACAACTCTGAATTACCATTTGAGTCCCAGATTTAACAATCACATTTCAATAGCTTTGGTCCCAGTAACTAATTAAAAAATTGTACTGATCTGCAGAAATCTACTTCTAAAGCTTCCAATCTAAACGAATTTTTTAATAGTACCTTTTCCATTGAACATAGTGCTTGAATTTAGAATGGTTTTGCCAATAAGCTTGTTGTATTTTGAGAATCTGTCTTGTTTCAATCAGGTGTTTCAACCATTGCAATTGGTAAGCGTGGAATGGATGAACTGGAGAAAAACCATGCTGACCCTTTGGGGTGTGTCCCCAGAAGTTTTAGAATGAAAATGGAATAGGTGGAGTTTGACCAGCTGGATGTTACCTGTCTGATGCTTCATTAACACCATAAAATAATTAATTAGTGTTCTTATGGTCACATTTAGTCACCAACAATTAAAGAGTTATGACATCTTCTGATGGTGCATAAACAAGCCTTCCCCCTTTAGACTGATGAAGTAACTAGGGAAAGAAGGGAATGTACCTTGCCCAAGGTCTCAACAAACCTATGATTAGAGTACAAGTGCTTTGTCTGTCTTGTGTTAAGAATAGCAAGTTGGACCATGCCTCCCTTTAATTTGAAACTTAAAGTCCATCCATCTATAAATCAAATTTTACCTCCTCTATATTCTGTGTTATTTCTCCAATCACTTAGGTCTATTTCAGCTGTGCCTGCGATGACCAGTTCCAGTTCTCTTGCATCAAAAACAGATACCAGCCTGGCATCCACCACCTGTGGAATAAAAAGAGTACAGGGCATGGCTTAGGAGCATGAAGAAATATCAGCTATCATTAAGCCTCCCCAGAAAAAGAGAGCACAAGGAATTTGGGAGATACTATGGGTGCACCCTGTATGAGCATTTGAAATACTATAAGTTTCTCTACAAGTATAAGGTATTTTTAAATAGAAAACTGGTTAAGATTGGCCCCACTAAAATTTTTATTTTGTCCATGACTATACCATCCTGAACATGTCTGATCTCAAAAGCTAAGCAGGTTGTGCCTAGTTAGCCCTTGGATGGGAGAATTTTTGTTTTACAATTGATCACTGATTGATCCAATTTATTTTCCTCTTTTTGAAAAGATCTAGTGCTCCTAATGAAAAAAAATCACATGGAATACAGGTGACAACTCATTCTGACCCTCACTTACAGTCTTTTCACATGAGATTTGATTACCTGCATCTAAACATGAGTAAGAGTCATGACTTATATGTTATTAGTGGTCATTAAAGCATCAAACGCTACTTGAAATCAGGTCATAATATTCAGTTTAATGATCTCTTGTAACAAGTGCTTAACCGTTTGTGTGTGTGCTATTGAAATATAAAGGAAAAATATTGAACTTTTAAAATTAAAAGAGCAACAGTAAATACAGCAACAGAGAAGATAGAAATGTTTCACCCAATTAAAGCACAGTAGGACAGACCAGGGCATCATTGCTCTTAGACCGGAAACCCCCATGACTGCTGGTTGTCTTTACCTCATAGAAGCCACGCACTAAGCTCTCTGTTTGTTGTACCACACCCCTCTCAATCCTCCACTTCACCATCCTCTCGATGTACTCCTTCTTGTTCTTCTCTGTGACCGGGATATTGGCACCCCCTGGCTTTAATTCTCGTTCAGTAATCTGAGATTAAAAAACAAAAGAACTGACCAGAAAGTAATATGCTTGATGTTATAACACCTAGCAAAGACAGCTAGTTACCTGTCCTTGTACTGCGGTGCATCCTATGAACACAGCACATGCATATAGAGGCACTCAGTAACCCCTAGACATTGAGCTAATGTTTGAAAGCCTCAGTGGTTAAAAAAAAATACAGGGGTGAATGGTTAAGTTTTAAATCCTGACTAACAGTGTGAGTTTTTAATCCAGATGGATTCCAGATACTCATCCTTTGCTATTTGAATGTTTGACAGAAACCATTTCCACAAATTCCTCTAAGATTTAGAATCAACTGTACCTAGAGATCCAATATTAAACTATAGATTTATTTAGGGAAATAGATTTGCACTCAAGTAAATGTTGAGAACTCAGTTTTCAAAACACATGAAATTCAGAAAAAGCAGCCAAATATTAGTGTCTAATAAGAATTAATACATAATCTTTGAGAAAAAAATTTTAACCTATCCTTCCACCAACTTTGAAATATAACCAATGTGTTCTCTGTTTTCAAGACTTCTACAAGATATTGTTTACATTCCCTCAGCTTCAAAACAATCAATTTTAGTTCTTAAATATGAAAGAGAACTAAATACATATTCCAGCTATATATTTGAATATTCAATTCTAGGACAGCATAAACTATTAAAAACTATATTCTATTTAAGACATATTCTAACCTTTTTTTGTAGATAGTTTAGTTGGAAATAAAAGGAAGATGGCTTATAACATAAAGGCTTATTATAATCTATAAATGAGAACATCTTAATCTGCAACTGGCATTAAAATAATTTTGTAATTGAGATTATGGTAACTGAATATAATCTTGGGTTTAAATCACCCAGTAAGTCACAAATAAACAAGCATTTGATCATAGCCATGTTTGATCAAATTTTTTCACCAATAGCTTTCAGTTCCCACACAGAGATGTGCCCATACACACCTGCCCAAAAACTTCTTCATTCACAGTGAACGTGAGGTCTAGGATGTCGTGAATATCATTGTCTTTCATCCACTGTAAGCTCTGGTGGAATTCTTCATCGAGATATTCTAGATCACTCAGGTCACACAGACTAAGGTGACAAACAGAAACAAATATGTAGGCATGGCTATTAGCAAAAATCTAGAGTCATGAGAAAAGAAACTAAGAATTAATAACAAGAATAAGATACACGTAATAAGCATATTCTTAGTCAAATTCAGTAACCAAATTGGTGAAATAACTCAGAAATTTGGTATTAGTTTAAAAATTCTGGATATATAAATGGCCATAGGAATCACTTAGCTTGTCTCTGCTTTTATATATAGAACTGAAGGTACAAAGAGTGGTTATCATTTACACAGTCATCCAAAATTAATGCCAGATCTGGAACTGGAACTTGGGTTGACAACTTGGATCCAGTATTCTTTTTGTTGTTATTGTACTGGGAATTGAACCCGAAGGCACTTTACCACTGAACTACATCCCCAAGTCCTTTTCATTTTGAGATAAGGTCTTGCTAAGTTGCTGAGGCTAAGGCTGGTCTTCAACTTGCTATCCTCCTGCTTCAGCCTCCCAAGTGGCTGGGATTACAGATGTGCACCACTGTGTTCAGCTGGATTCAGTATTCTTTTCATTATATTGTACTATCTTAAAATATTGTTCTTCTACTTTGAACTTATACACACACATACACACACTCGCACACACACACACACACACAGAGTATCTTTGCTTTTCATTTTTTTTTTATTAGAGCTTTACAGTTACACATATTAGTTGAGTTCATCCTGATACACTCATACATGCATGGAAATTGATTTCAGTTCACGATTCCCCCCACCTCCTTTTTCCTCCTTTTCTCCCTCCCCTCTCTCATTCTCCTTCCTCCACTAGACTTCCTTTTGCTCATCTACTAACTTATATTTGACTGTTTTTTTATATTATCCTATCCGTTACTTCCTCTTTCCTTTATTTGCTTTAGCTTCCATAAGAGAGATCTTTGATTTCTGAGTTTAGCTAATTTCACTTAGCATAATATTTTCCATTTTCATTCATTATTTTTTTTAAGAATAGATTCTGTGACTCATGTTCACATACATCTCTCTTTTCTTCATGATTCTTCTTTTGTGACTCTGAAAAGAGCCAAAGAACCTCTCTACAATTATAATGACTTTCTATATTTCTTTTTTCTTTCTTTTTTTTTTCTTTTCCATTGCAGGGACAGGATCTATGTGAGGTAGAGTTACTATTATATACCTTGTTATAAGGTGGTAGTAACTAGTTTACTATAGTTATTTTGAAATTTCCCTACGTCAGATCAATTTCAAGGGTCATTTTGTTTGGTTCATTCTAAAAATTTATTAGCTACTGGATGAGCTTGATGTTGCTGGTCTCAGGAGTGAGTGGTCTCACTAGGGAGACAGGTACACAGTATATAATTTAATATAAGGTGATTACTGGCAATATAGGGTAGATTCAAGCACTTTTTAAAATGCATGAGGTAGGTATGGGGAACTGTCAGAGCAAACAGGAGTGGCACAGCATTTGCTTTGACTTGAATATTGAGGTAAATCTTTTTAAAGCAGATGATGCCTACATTCAGTCTTTTGGGATGTTTAAAAGCCAGAGAGACAAAAATGAAATGACTAAAAAGGAAATAAAGAGGATAAAGAATAAACATGAACAAAACACACAGGCATGAAGTGTAGAACACTCCCAGCACATGGGCAGCACCAGCACACTAACCACAGTACATAATATCCAGAGTATGAGGCTGCAAAGGTGGCTGGGATTAGGTCCTGAGTGTCACTTGAAGGAGTATGGTGATTCAGAACTACCAAAAGGGTTTAAGACAGGAATGACATGATCATGTGGGAGTGGTAAATTATAAATCTCCTCTGGAAGCCACAATGTAGATGACTATTTAAAATGGGATTGAGACCACTTCAGTCATCTGGCACAAATAAGATAAAGGTTCTAATTAGGGCAGGCCATCAGAGAGTAATTTGGTAAATTTGAGAATTATTTAGGAAGTAAACATGCAGAAATCCGTAAATGGATTTGTATGGAAGAGGTCTAAAATGGGGTGGCAAATGAACTCGTGTCACAAGCCAACTCTGATTAATTAAAATAGTCTTGAGTGCTATAAAGTTGAAAAGATTTCTGAGGCCACATGAGCTTAGTGGGGAAAAGTATCATAAACGATTTGTAAACTATTCCATGGGAATAAGATCAGATATGGGAAAGAGTAGAAAATGTACTCTGTATTTGCCATCCCCGTTTTAAGGATCATTCTTGATTTCTGACTAGTTGCCAAGAATAGGAACATAATTAACTGCAACTGGACACATGGGGGAAGGTATATTTTTAGATCAGGGAAATGGTGAGTTTGGCTCTGACCATGTTGATTGTGAGGTCCCTGTGAGACATCCAAGCAGAAACATTCACAAGTTGACCATGTGAGCTTGCAACTCAAGAGAGATCAATTCTGAGGGAATCCCCAGGATGTGAGACAAGTCTTGAAATTTCCCTATGCTGGCCTTTGAGCCAACAAAGCACAGGCCAAAGATGAGAGCTTCAGGAACATGGAGATCTCAGGGCAAGTGAGAGGAGAGGCTGATAAAGGAGACAGAAAGGTAGGACAAGAACTGGGAGATCAGAGTGTCACAGATGCCAGGGGAGTAGAGACCCAAGCATAAATGGGGTTGGGGCAAGTGCTCAATGGTATTTGAAGCATCAGAATGGTCCAATCAAGTAGAGCTAAAAAGTCCTTGCAGATTTTCTTTAAAAATCTCCACATGTTACTGGTGGGAAAGAACCTAAACTAACATGTGTCGAGGGTATGAATCTGGGGCATGTGTGAACAGTGGTATACCTTTACAGGAAACTGAAATGAGAAGAGGAGAGGTAAGGCAGTGAAAGGGGAAGATGTGACAGGGACTAGGGAGGAGGAAATAGTCCCCTGGCTCAGTAACAGCTGTGAAGATGTTGAAAGGGAGGCAGAAAGCCAGGTATCGCAGCAACTTGGGAGGCAGGAAAAGCCCTCCTACTGACCTCCCTACTGACCAAGGGTGCATAAGAAACATTTTATTTGCATTCATTTGAGTTCTAGGCTTCTGTTTTACAGAAATCAGGTCCATAGTTTCAGTAAGGGAATGAGATGGATAGAACCAAGCCATGTTTTGGTGCCTTCCCACGGCAAATCTGAGCTACCACTCCATAGGCAGTTGCCCTCTGTTCAGCCTTGGAAATTACTACATACAGACTATAAGACAGGAATGGGGTTTGCCCTACATTTTATAACAATTGCAATCTATCATGGTGATAACAATGAAGAAAAGTTCTATGAATGCTTAATTTTCATCTGCCATCATAAATTGCTGTTTTGTACATAGAGAGATCTCAAGAAAAACATGGTGCTGTCTCCCCCTAACAACCACACCCAATATAAAACCAAATCAAAACAAAGGAGAATGAAAATTTGACTGAGAGTAAGAAGTTGAAAGTCTGCATGAAGAAAAACATAAAATGCATCTCATAAAGGACAGGGGGCTGTGACTCACCAAGAAGAACCCACAACTATTTTATTAATAATCAGCATTATACCACAAGAATTCCAGGGCTGTATTTGAAGTACAATCATTTTGAAGAAACATGTGGGGTTGCAACAAATGAGAATAAATTAAGAGTAGAACAAAACTAAGACTTTGGTCGCTAGACAGGAATAAAAGGTCAGAAGCAGGGAAAACACAGTAACTGTATTTGAAATTGTATTAGTTTCCAAAATCAAAGCCACTGTTCAATTTAATAACAGCAGATTTGCAATACTGAACAGATATTTAAGGAGTCTGACAGAAGACTCTTCAATAAACACTGCATTTTTACATGCTAATTACAAAAGCAACAAAAAATACACTTACATTCTGAGAAGAGCCTTATAAAAGGGCCGTGTGAAGAAGGCATCCAACAAATACTGGTGAATTAGTGCAAGACCTAGGATCCTACCGCTGAACCGGAACCTACAAGGAAAAACATGAAATAGCTTACAGAACATGGAACAGCTTTTAAATGGTTCTGTTTGCTTTATAGAATGCGTTCTCATTCCAACCACTTAAGTTCATCCAAGATTAATTGCCTACTGAGTTCATGAGAATTTGTGTGCACCTTGGATTGTCTCCATTAGCCAATAATTCATATCTACATGTTGAAGAAATGTGTCTCACTGATATTGAGAGACGAGGTTCCACCATTACCCTGTGTCAGTAATGTCATATTGTAGCATCCCACATCTGACAACATGAATCCCCCATTAGCATTTTAGTGAAATTTCTCCAAACCATTTCTAAGAGATGTGGATGGGACAAGGGAAAGTAGAGAAAATGTCCCCTTCTAGTTCACACATGTGACTATTAGTCGGGTTGTCTAATACAAACTCAGTTGCAATTCTCCTTTGAGGAAAAGCCCAGTTTCAGACTGAGAAAGTTCCCATCACTGTTTTTTTTTTTCAAACCCCATTCCCAAAGATAACGACCACTCTTCAAGAATTATGCATATGGACATTTGGGGGAGTTTCCTCTTGGGACATTCTGTTCTCCAAAAATTTCAAAGCTCACTTCTATTCTGAATCAACTTGGAAACTTTATGACATATATATGGTATGACTCGTTGGCTGATCCAGATGTACACTTGTTTTGTTTATCAAGAGTATCAAGTTTTTAGTTCCTTGAAAGTCTGTTGCCTTCTAAAAGTATAAATCCAGACTGGGATTCATTATATCAATTTGTAATTTTAGTTTCAGGCCACCATTTGAGGTGAGTGCCCAGCAGCTTTGCTTCTCTGTATTTCCACTTACGTTAAAACAACTCCAAGAGCCAGTTAGGAGGACTTCTATTTAAAAAGCCCTGATATTAATCTCATGACTCAAAGAAGTTTTCCCCATGAGTCCTACTCATGTTCTTTGTTTTTTGGTGTTTTTTTTTGTTACTATCAGTAAAAATGAACAGGAACAAGTTAGTAGGAGTTATGCAAATATTTAAAGTCTACAAATGCAGGGATTTAAAAAAGAAGCAAGGACATTTGAAAAGTGCAATTAGAGATTTTCAGAATAAATGCCTCCAGATGGGAATACTAAATCAGTTTTCCTTGATGATTTTGTGTGAGAAATTAAGAAAGTGGCAATCCCTGTCATAAACTTCAAGTGGTTCATAGGGTGAATGGAGCTCCAGCTGTCCCAGCACCCAGCCTACCAGTGTCAGCCACTTCCCCAAGAGCTACCAGAGACACAGCCTGCCCTCCTGCTCAGGACCTCCTTTTCACCCCGACCCAGTTCAGAGTTCAAAGACACCCAAAGGTGCAGAGAGGTATCTAGGTTTTTTTTTTCTGGGAACCTAAAAACATCTGTAACTTTTTTCTGATGGGGTAAAGCTTTTGAATTCTGTCCAACTCACTTAAAATTCATCTTACGTAACATAATCTATTCCAAGCTTAGAGATGGCTTGTGTATTTAAATTTGACAACAAAAATGAGAGTCAAATGAGGTATTTAACTGATATAATTTTTGTTTAAGGGGAAAAATGTTAAAAGAATGTGGACTTATATTTTAAAAAATAACATCACAGAAAATCAACTGAAGAAAACTTACAGAAAAACAACAACAATAACAACAACAACAGCTACTTACCATTCATGATGATTGTCTACAAAAGCAGACATGGGACTTATTTGTACTGTGTATGTATCATTGGCTGAATATTCAAATAAGCCATAATAGGGGTTAAAGAGTTCTCTGGATACCAGGAAGAAAAACTCTCTGGAAGGCCCACTGTAATCCAGCCTGTAAAAGAATCCACAAAAAGAATAATCAGCTTTTATTTTTTTCTAGATATTAGGCATATCTTCTCCTGATCTCAACTTTCTACAGAATGTTCATTATAAGATGAATTGTTTACATACCAGGACTGTCCAAAGTAAATTGAACAAATTCCTAATCTCACCATGTCTTGACCCAAAATAGTAAATGGACACTTATGTGGAATATATCTAAAATGAAGGCATCAACCTATCAGATGATGCATAAAATATACAATAATGATTTTAATAAATATGTATAGGCATTTAAAAATGTCTGAGGAAAGGCTATGGGGAAAGGGAGTGCAGTGTGGAAACTATTTACACAGGGTAAAGCCAGAGGGAATCCATTTATGGGACATGGCATCCATTCATGGGACACTGAGTCCTCATGGAATTTCTGGAACATTTTTGAATGAGGGAAGAAAAAGACTTTTGTGAATCAGGGAATGTTACAAATACAAGGCTCCCTTGGGATATCACAGCAAAAGAAAAAAAAAAGAAGGAATAGGATGCAAAGGAAAACTTTGAATTATAAAACATCACAGAAAATTAAAGAAAACATGAGGCTGCATAAACCTCTCTAAGAAGGCATTTGAAGAGGCTCTAACTTTAGCACCTGAACTACACTGTAAATTCCACTGTACTGACAGAGACATCTGGGTCAATGTGAAGTAGAAGAAAAGATTATGTTGAGTTTTAGGAATGACAAGTGGCCAAAAATGCTGAGAGCAAAAAATGCAGTAGAGGGGAGTTTGCAAGAAAGCAATTTGATCTGGTAAATTTGAGCTGAATGATATAATTGCATCTACCTATGATAAAAAACACACACATAGATTCAAAGACAGGAAGGAAAGCAGAGAGGGAGTAAAAGCAACTGAGAAGTTGGGGTGGTAGGATTATGGGTGATTTTTTCCCCTTAACTTGATTTTCTCTATTCTGTGGACCTATTGCTTTTTTCTTCTTTCCTGTTTTTTTACAAAAAAGAAATCATCTGAGTCTAATCTACTCATGAGATATGTGATATAGAAAAGGATCATATTATTGGCAGAAGAGGGAGTTGGGAGACTAGTAAGCAGAATAAAAATGGCTCTTACCTGTCTTAGTAGAGAATCTAACAGAATTTACACAGTACAGACTCCAACTATTTGCCTACTACTTTCTCAATTTTTGCCTTATTTGAATATGTTATTTCACATTTTGCTTTAATTCCATTTTGATTTTCAATGTAGGCTTCACTTACATACGATTTATGAGGTTTCACTGTGCTAGCTCTATTCCTAATATACGTTAAAAGAAATACAGAAATGTTAAATAAAAACTGTTGATCTCTGCAGCAGTTAAAACCTGTTCACATACCACCAGTGACGTCAATGTGCTCACACCCACACCACACTGACTAAAATCCTGTGCGTGCAGAAAAGTGCCAATAGAGCAGACTCTCGGGGCCAACGGGGACACGGTGGGCCTGCCCCTGGGAGTAACTGAATATAATGCTGTTAACAGTGGCCCCAGGATGGGGGGACTAATGTTGGTTGCCCTGGGGACTCCCAAAGCAGCACTCTGGCTGTCCCCTGGGTGCAGGGATGTACAGCCAATCTTATGCAACCTGCTTGTGGCTTCCTCTCTCTGTCCTACTTCTGGCTTCTAATGCCACCAAGAACAAGTAGAGCACTTCTTCCATTTGAATGTTCTTTATTACTCCATCTTTCTTTCAACAAATACATTTTCCAATTACATTCTAGGTACTAATCTAGATCTCAAAGAGAAACTCTTTCAAAAAGTCACTTTCTGCTCTTACTTATGTCTCTATCTCACACTTCTGCTCTCTTCTGCTCCTTCCCTACCCCTGAGCATGTCCACGTCCTTCACCCTTCTGTCAACGCAGGGGCCATGGCCATCTTAGACTGAGCACAACGCTTGAGGTGAGGTTTTATCATCACAGAGCTCAGAAAAGGGTTTGGAAAGTCTTGGATGCTTTTCTCCACTAATGCAGATCAAAATTAGCGCCTTTTGGGACAGCCACTTTACTTTTTGAGCCACAATGAGCCAGTCAATCAGTTTAAGACTCCAAATCTTTTGTCTATGCTGTTTTAATCTGGGGCTTCCCGTCCTGTCTGTGAATAGTTCTATCTGTACTAGACACAGACCAGTAAAGAACAGTGTTAAATTTTACTTTGTGAGACTCTGTTTCCTACATCTTTCCATAAAGAGAATGCTAATGGATAAAGACACTGTAGGATTTATTTTGTCCAAACCCCTCATTTCACAGAGAAGATGGAGACTGGAAGAAATCATGGACTTGCATCAAACAGAAGCCACAGACCTTCAAACAGGTGTCCTGACCCCAAATTTAATATCTGTTACTCTGAGAGCTTGCCCTTCTGGAAAATTTAAATGTTTGTCAAGACTGAAAACAATATTGTGTATAGAGCAGGGGTTAGCAAACTGTGGCCTGCAGGCCAAATCTGCCCCACCCCCTAGTTTTGTAAATAAGGTTTTATTGGAACACAACTGTGCAGTTTATGTGTAGTCTATGGCGCCACAATGGTGGAGTTGGGTAGGTGCCACAGAAAATGTTTGGTGGGCAAAGCCTAGTATTTCCTATCTGGCTTTTTACAAAGAAAAAAAAAGAAAGTTGCCAACCACTGTTACAAAAAGAAGAAAGGAGGAGGAAAAAGGCCACTTTATTAAAATATCTAGTTTACTATAAATCCTCTTCTTTAGAGTTATGATCTTTCAAGAAAATATAAAATGGCTCCAACATCCCGAGAATATATCTAATCTCAGGGAGTGGCCTCAACTACTAGATAGGAGATGCTTAAAGAGCATCAGTCTATTTGGTCACTGCTCTGTTGGGGTTTCAGACACTACCAAGGCCCACCATACATGAGGATCACAGACAACTGAAAAATAAGGCAAATTCTAAACAGGTCAGTGTTCTTAGAGAGACAAGTGGTACAGTAAAGTAAGTTTGTAACTTTCAGCTTTAAAATGCAGGTTGTTTCTGAGCTATATCTCTGACTGTTAAATAATACTGCACTTAACCACAGTGCATTATAATAATCCATTTACGTGTCTGCCTCCCCTACAAACACTACCATACTTTAACTATACTGAGAGGAGGCACTGTATCTTACTCGTATTTGTATCCCAAGTCCCTTGCCTGACACACATTGTTACTGGAAACGTGGAACTCTCTAATTTTCTAAAGAAAATCTGTTATTTCCATTGTTATTTAACATCTAGCAGAGTGAATGAATTTGCACTAGTTTGCTATTTAGTGGTTCATGGATTGTGACAGGCATAAGTAATGCCAATCCCTTAAAGACCACTCAGTCATAAAACATTGCCCAAAATCACACAAGTGAATTGTGCTTAGGAAGTCCTCGGTGCAATAGCTTCTAACATGGTAAGTTTATTAAAACAATAAAGACCCTGCTGATTGGTTCCTTTTTTATGACAATAGCTGAATCTAGCTGAAGACAAATGACTGGGATCCTGAGGAGTAAAACTGAAAAGTAAAACTACTATCTATCTATCTATCTATCTATCTATCTATCTATCTATCTATATGTATGTATGTATTTTTTCCCCTCAAGAGAGAAAAAAGCTAATAGCTCATCTAAGAGGAAATGTATCTTAACTGGTCAGGATTTTATCTGTTGTGTGTGTGTGTGTGTATGTGTGTTTTTAAAATCTCCAAAAGCATGGATGGGGTCATTCTAAAGCTAAGACAGGCTTTAAACTTTGATTTGATTACAGTCTGAAATTTAGAACTGCATATCTGAGCGCAAGTTGTAGATTACAATTTATGCATAAGTATAAAAATCCAATAAAACATGTCACAGCAGGGTACATAGTACATGCGCTTCCTGAAATGTCTTAGCAACCTCTTCCATATAAATAGTTAATATGACTCATATCACAGAGATCGTTTGTTACATTCCTGTTTTGCCAGTTAGGTTGGTTCCACAGTTAAAGGCTTGGCACAGAAATATAGAAACTGCACAGTGGGTGTGTAGCCACACAACAGCTGCATCTGAGGGCATTTCTGAATAAGCACAGATGTCTCTAGGGTGGCCATGTAGTTTTAAGCCCCGAGTGCTGATAAAGCATTTTAAACATCATCACGTTACTGGGCTGGCACACCACCCCAGTTGTTAGCAGCACTCTGTGTTTGTTAAAATACTGAATTTTATTCCCCCATTCTTTATTTTCAACTAAGAATGACTGAGAACATTCAGTTACGTTCCAGTAGAAGTAGACTAAAATGGAAGAGGATGATGGCCTCAGGAATGACAACATCATTTCCTACAAGTTGGTTCAGGCACACAAGGCCTACGTACCTTCTGATTCACCACAGATATTTATAGCAACGAGGCATTAACCCTTAGCGAATTATGTAGGCCTGGTGCAAGGGGAATTTTGATATAATAAAGGTACACTTGGTGATACCAAGCCAAGACCAAGATACAGGAGCAGCCTTCTTTTATGAGGTTTGAGTTACATAGGTGATCCTGGAAAGGCCTCCTTTCAGAAGAAAATAAGCAGCATCCTAAGTTTAGCTTGAAGCTCTTCAGATTTCTGGGGAATTAATGAACCCCAAGGAATTAATGGACCTTGATTGACTTCTAGAAGAGGACCTGAGCAGTCACGTGTGAGAACTGTTTGTTATTTCATAAACAGGGAGAGAGGAAAGCTGTCAGGTCTCGCCCTCCCTAGTTGTTTTCATTTGCCTGTCTCAGGAGAGGTTACAGAAAGAGCTCAACAGAAAGATAATATAAGTTCCCAAGCCCCTAAACTAAAACTATGTGCACACCTCTCCCTAGACTAAGTGTGGCTTTGCAAAACAGACGATTGATCTCATATAGATGGTGCCTCATGCATAATGAAACTCATTCTTTATTAAATAAAGGTGCCTTTTACAGAGATGGCCATGGAGAAAAAAAGAGATGGAACAATCCCAGTGTAAACATCCTCTTTATTCAGGCCATTATTTCATTACTGTTTTGGGTACTCAGAAGTTTGTGGCCTTAGATGCCTTATCAGTACCCAATAGCCTACCTAGCTAACTTTGGATATCACAAGAGCTTTAGTTGCTAAGACTTTTAATTGATAAGAATAAAAAAAACCCTCGAGAATATATAGTATTTTGTTGCTCCTCTCCCTAAACAAGCAACTTCTGGAGAGACCAAAGCCTAATAGAAACAGGCAACCACTGCATGCTATTTCCTGCCACATTCAACCAAGATGACTCAGTTTCCAGCCACTCTGCCACTGCTGATCTCCCCACTCCCCACCTTGCAATGCAAGATAATCAAATGCAGTGGGTAAAATTTTAATGACTAGAACAAAACTTGCAGCTCTACCAAATTAAATCACTAATCACAAGGTTGTGCTTAGAAACATTGTTTGTAAAAAGCCAAGCATAACACGAAGAATTATTTTAGTGAGAAATAATAGTTGTAAGCCAATGTCTTTGCATTAATAGGCTCTAGGTTATTTTTGTATTTTTGTAATTGAAGACAGACATCTCCAATATTCTGGAGTTAATTTTACCTAATGTGGAATTTGTAGCCATACTACAAATTTTTAACTAAATTTTTTCATCATTGCTCCTGACTCTCTTATTTCAGGAATGATCTGTACATCATGTTTCAGACTTATGCAAAGAAAAAGCTTAAAGCAGAGATGAAGTCTCTCTGTGAACCTGCTAATTCAAACCATTTTGGAGGGCAGGTAAATACATTATTCTAAAAAGTAAACCTCTTTTTCTTTATGCTTCAAGTAAACTATTGTACCATAATTAATGAGCCAATATCGACACATTATTATTAACTAACATCCATACTTTATCCAGATTTCCTTAGCTTTTACCTAATATGCCTTTCCTGTTCCATGATCCCATCCAGCAAAAACATTACATGAATTAATTATCATTTTGACTGTAGCATTTTCTTAGATTCCTTTGATTATTGATAATGTTGACAATTTTCAAGATTCCTGGTGAGTATCTCCCACAGTGTTCCTCCAATGGGTTTTGTCTGAGTTTTTCCAAGATTGGTGTGAGATTATGGGTTTGGAGGAGAGAGATCACAGAACTGCCCCTCTTATCACATCACATGAAGGGTGTCACCGATCAAATGACTTGGAACTGTTGATGTTAACCTTGATTACCTCACTGAAAGAGTGTCTGCCAGGTTTCTCTACTATAAACTTACTTCTTTCCCACATTTTCCACAACTGTACTATTTGGAAGAAAATTCTGTGTACAACTCATATTTAAGGGGTAGGGAGTTATGCTGAATTCTGAAGAAATAATTCACACAGATTTTTCTATTCTCCTCCATTTATTTATATATTTCATCTCATATTTAATCAGTATGGATATTTATTTTATACCTTAGGCTTTATTTATTTTGTTGCTTCTATTATTCCAGGTTTGGCCTTTGGGATCTCTCTCAGTGGGCTCTTGTGTCCCTTTGGCATATCCCCATCCTCATTTTGAAAACCCCTCTACTTTCTGGCAGTCTCTACGAGATTCTTCAGGGTCCATCTTGTATACTTCCTGCCTCAGTCCTAGAATTAACCATTTCTCTAAGGAACCCTAGTGCTTTATATTGAAGAAGGATATTAGAAACAAAGATCTAGGCACCAGATATGTACATTTTAAAATACTCGTTTCTAGACCTAGAGGTGAAGAATTTACAAAATGATATGTTTTAAGGGCACTGAAATTGATGAGGGGGGAAATAACAGGAAACTTCTATTTTTATCGTTCAATGGAAAGATTTGGGTAGCTTTTCAAACTGGGTATTAATTATAATCCCCCCAAAGTTATAATACCTCAATGTGATAGGATCAGTGTGTTTGAAAGGTGGCAAAGGTTCAAAGAATTCAATTTTATGTAGTTTTGAGATCTCTATTTTTTAAACAAGAGTACTGTTTTAGTCTTTCAAAACAGAAGTCTCTGTGCTTCAATAGCAAATGAAGTTTTATGTCTAATAATCTAAATATGTGACATTGGCATGATAAAGACAGGAGTCCAGAAATCCAGGTTCAATAGGCCCTATTAGCATAGGAAGCAGATTTAGAGATCATTCCTGATAACTGAGGTCACACCTCAAAACATCCTCTCCCTTGTTTTCCCTCTGGAATCATAGGAAGGAGACAGGTGATGGAGGCAGGAAACATGTGGACACCAGTGGTAATCAAGCACAGAGGAATCCAGCTCCACTCAGCCTGGGCCTCCTCCTAGGAACCAACGTCATCAGTCTAGATCATGAGAGACTGCTGGAGGATGACCAAGCAAGATCAGCATCTATTCTATTTAAATTTAAATATCAGTGCTTCCAAAGACTCTTCCCTGTACCTCTGAGATCTCAACAAACTGTGGTCCAAGCCAGGCACAGTGGTGCATGCTGGTAGGCCCAGCTCCTTGAGAGGCTGAGGTAGAAGGATAGCCTGAGTCTGGGAGTTCAAGGGCAGCCTGGGCAACAAAGTGAGATACCATCTCAACGAATAAATAAATAAATAAACAAAAACAAAACAAAAATGTGGTTCCACAATGAAAGAAGGCAGTTGGAGTTCTGGGGGAGGAAAATATTCTCATCCAAACCAGACTGGTCCTGTAAGGAAATACTTGGAATCCCATGCATACCTGTGATGAGGCTAACGTTTGCCTTCCTTTTCAATGGTGCACCTGCATCTTTAAGCCAACACAAGCCTGAAGTCATTTATGCAGGTCAGCAATGAAAGACTCAGTCAACTGTCAGGCAAGCTTCTACCGAAACTTTTGTCACATTTTACTTTCTTCTAGTCAAAGCTGGGAGACAGTTATCAGTCACGAGTTGGAATGGTTAAAGTTTCAGCAGTAGGGAAAAAAATCAGGTCTGAGTTCAGGGGTTTTGTTAACATTCCAGTGCAATTCCAAGAATATTGGATAAAAGACGAAAGGCCTGGGTTTCAGTCATGATTTTGCTCTTCCCTCTATTCTATGAGCACAGGCAAGTTATTTTGTACTTTGAAGTCTCCAGTTTATAACCACATACTGCAAGGTTAAGTTTTTTGGAAATCTTCTTTATTCCCAGACATGACTGAGAGTGACAGCCTTAAAATGATCCAAATCAAACAGAAACAAAGAGAACAACATCAGAGTTCAGACAACTATGTGGAATTTTTAAAATTCCCTCTAGTGTCTACAGGGAACTGAAGATGGTGCTGGGACCTCAAATGAGGAAAGACAGAGGGGCCCCAGAGTGGGGGAGAAGGGCGAAAAGAGGGATGAGTGCTGTCGATCCAAGGTGACTTGCAACAACTGAACAACTGTTGTGTCTATTTGGGTGCAACAGACACTGTGGGAGTCATCACCCTTTAGTTTCCTAACTCTCGTCCAGGTGAGCACACTCATAGAAGAGTCATGAAGCTGGACACCTTGGTCTATGGTAGGTAGTTACATTTGTAGGTGTGCTGCCCTCCCAAGGGAAGAGAAAAACTGGGGGTGGAGAAAGAAGAGCCAAGGCCCCAGAGTGATTATGGTGGAAGCCTCCTGGTAGAAAAGCAGAATTCTAACTTGTGATGCTGAAACTGAACTTATTTAACAGGTGAAGCAAATTGTACCCAGCACTCGAGGGCAGAACACAAGATCTTAGATGTTAAAATGCAATTCACTGTTGTTTTTTACCCCTCAAAGTCTCACTTTCTTCCCTTTGAGAGAAAGAGAGATGGAGAGAGAAGAAACCAAACTAGTCTCCTGCTCTCAAAAATGATCATAGCTACAAGACTTTAACCAAAGAATTTCTATGTCAAATGATTTAAAAACCAGAGGAAGCCTTAAAAAAAAAAAGCTGAAATGTTTAAGTGTATGAGAACAGCACTTCCTGCCAGAAGGATTTCCTGTTTCAGGCAACCACAGCGACATGGAGAAACATCCGCCCTGCAGCCACAGCCTGTGTTCCCCAGCCACTTCTCTGTTCTCCTCACCCTTCCTCCCCGACGAAGGTGACATACAGCTTATTCCTCTGCAGATCTTTTCTGGAGTAGCCCATAATCTGATTAAAAGCATCTTCTAGCAAGTGATCTCTTCGGATAATTAACCTGTCCGTAAAGAGACAATTGGGAAAACACAGATTATTTCCTCTTCCTTATCTTTCTAGAGCCTGGCACCTGCTATTTAATTTCTATTTACCACAATTAACTAGGCTAGAGGTAAAGTTACTTACTACCATCACTGTCTGCATTAAAAGTACACACTTGTTCTTATTTCTTAGCAGCATTAACAAACATTACATAAGAGACTTGAGGGTAAATAAAGTGCCCCACCTTTGGTCTGAAAAACATCCTGAGAGTCTTTTCTGAGTGGCCAGTCACTTATCCAGAAGAAAAATGATCATACAACAATACACATGCACACACGTGTGCACCCACACACTATACAAACACACACAAACTTTTGTTTACTAAATGAAGAACAACCCTATGAGGTAATGCTTTAAGCCTGAATGCACCTAGACAAGGAATTCAGTTACTAAGACTCTCTCCGGAGAACCAGGAGAAGGGAAAAAAGTCTGTGTCCTCCAAAGCAGAGGAGTTTACAATTGTGCTTAATTTAATTTTTAAATTAAGCCAACCTTGAGATTCCCTAAGGGGTAGATAAAAGTAGATGATGCTCATGGCCAATTAATTTACTTGTGATGATGACATTAAAGTGGTCCTGCCACAGATATCCATTTGCCCTTCATGTAAATGGTAATGGACCAAGAGAGGACAGGGAGGCTGGGTGAATGAAACCGGATGATCCAGACTTTGTAAGTCAAGTGCGACACCATTACAGCTCAGAGAATGATGGTGTTGGGGATGGGGAGATGAAGGTGAAATTGACAATGAGCCCTCCTATGCAGAGGGGTCAGGCACCCAGGTCATAGTGATGCTTCAAGGGAGACCCCCCTCCCCTGCCCTCTCTAGGTGGCATAGTGAGCTGTAGTGGGGACATGGGGAGGAGGGGAAGAGTGGTAAGTAAGGAGTGAAAACAAATCTAGGCCAGACAACATGATGAGGATGTTTCAGTGTCCCCACTGAAAGGGAGGGTGAGAAAGGCAGAAACAACATTCATGACCCATTCTCTTGTAGATGAAAGTTGTCACAGAGAATGAAATAGAGCTAACCATACATTCAAGTCAGCTCAGAAAATAGTAACATGCTGTCAGAGACACGGCAATAATTTAATATCTAATGACTATCCAGGAAGCCAAGAGGTACTCTTTGGGAGAAAAAAAAATTAATCAGCTTTTTATTTTGCCCCTATTTTTACAAGGAAAGCAGTAGTGCATTCACTGCTGGATTTCAAACCTGAAGTTTAATCGTACGTTAACTCTAGAACTACATCTTACATGATACTGTAATTTACAAATGCCAAAATAATCACGCCCACTAAAACATAGGCTCATTGTCCCAAATCACAATTTCCTAAATTTCCGACTACATCCCATCCTTAAACCATCTATAAATCATGTGGTTTGTATTACTTTGACTTACTTTAATTTCCCTGGGCCTTGTCCATATCCTTTAGTCTCTAACTTCCTGTAAAAGTTCCTTAGTTTGGCTTCAAAATCTCTCTTGTAAGGGGCTGGAGCGCGGGCATTGGCACGTTGAGTACCTAGAGGATACCACAGAGGAGGACAAGCTGGGGTTGAGCACTGTCCTTACCTTCATCACATTGCCATGAAGAAACCACCCCCATTAACAAATAAAACCAGTAATACTTTCAGCTTCTGCTTCCCCTCCTCTCCAAGTTGAAGGATATAGCAAAGCTTAACCAGGGTCTTAAGTGACATCTTTGTGGCTTTTTGGTTAAGAATAAAGATCCTCTTTGAGTAGTTACAGGATGCCCATGTTTTTCTCAAATATGTTCCCCTTTTTACTCCAAACTAATATGAGTCAAACGGAGTTACTCATGTCCAGTGATTAACTGTTCAGGATGAAGTATCTTTTCTTGCTGCTGAAATGATATCATGGCAATTCAACAGGAAGCTACTATGTGAAAGTATGTGGCATATAAGGCAAGAATAGTCAGTTTCTATCATTCATTGGACATTCCTCACCCCCCAAATCCACAAAAGGTTTATTCACATATGCACTATAAAAATAAGAAAGATTTCAGATATATAATTATATATATTTGTTATTGCAGGGTAAGGTAGTCTTAGTATAAAAACAATTAAAACATAATTGCAGAAGGTACTTGTCTTCTGGCTGCACAAAGAGTAAATAATAGTGATATTTATTGCATTCCGAATGCACCAAGTGCAGTGAATATCTACAGAATATTTAAAGATATTTATATCATCCAGTAGCTCAGTATAAGAGCATCACAGTTTCTTCCTCTTTCCACAGAAAAATCTTGCTTTGGGTCACAAGCAACAACTTGGGATATTAAACTGATGATGAAATGGGAGTCAGACACAGACATAAAAACACACTGGATATTTCCACCAAGTACTTCCAACTCAATAAAATAAACCAGAAAACACAAATTGTGAAGTCTTGTTCATCACACATCATGTAAGTTCATGAAAAATTTCCTTAACAAATGAATCAGCTGTTATTTATTATTAGTTTATTATTTATTGCTAATACTGTGTTAGATTCAATCATGGATGCTAAAAATGAATAAGGTAGGGTTCTGGCATGACTATCTTGGTTGGGGAGACATAATTAAAACACAGAAAATAATTAGAGCATAAATCCTAAACTAGGTGGTACACAGATTATAAAGCAGAGGTGACAAACCTATAGCCCTTGGACTATCCCCAGTCCTATAAATCTATTTTGTTTGCCCCACTTGCTTTTTCTTTTTTTAGGATTTAAAATTGATTACTGACATTCAAAAATTTAGGAGATTTCAAGTTTAAAAAAAAACTATGTTTTTCTCTTGAAAATTATTTGGGAAATATTACAACAACCGGCTCGCATTTCTCTGGGGAGACAGGAGCAGCTGTTCTATTAAACCAGGCCTGTGTTCTTCCCTCTGCCATAGCTACTCAATGACACTGGCTGCCTGGCCTCCTAGTATTTGCTTTTGATATCAGTGGTATAGAAAAGTTACAGTGATGTCACAGAAAAGTAATGAGCACAGGTGGAGATTAAATTGAAAAAGACCTAAGGAGGGAGTCTTAATTGAAACCAAACCTTGAAAATGGAGGAGAATCTCTATTCTATACTGGAACAGGTCAGCAAGAGCTGGAAAAATGATTGCTTCATATTCAGAAGATGCTGAAGAAACCCACTAGCCTAGAGTGAAGGGGGTGTACTGGGGAGTAAACGGGAAATTAAATCAGTCAGAAGTGCTGGAGTCGAATTAGGAGAGGAATTTTAAAAACCTAGCAGAGGAGTTTGGCATGGTGCAGTGAACAGTGGAAAGCCTTTATAGGTTCTTCGGCAAGGGAATAACATACAAATGGTGTTTCATTAACAAAATTATTTTCAGAGTGTGTTGGACCGATTAAGGGTGGGAAAGAGGAAAGGAAACTAGAGGGTGGATACCCAGTTAGAAATTGTTGTAGCAACAAGGCCTGAGGGGATAAGGACTAGTCAGGAGGGTGGTGACTCAGAGGAACATTTACAATGTGAAATATGAATTGGTAACAGTAGAAAAGTAAGGAAGAGGAATGGGAAACCCCGATAACATCGATTTTCAACAATAACAATAGCTATCATTTGTTAAGTGCCTGTTATATTAGGGATGATGCACTTTACATAGGGATCTTGAGAAATCCTCCCAAGTCTATGAAGTGGCTGTTATTATTATTACTATCATCATTATCACTTGGCAACTAAGGAAAACAAAGATGCAGTTTCTTGTCCAGGTCATATGCCACTGATAGTAGTAGGTTTGGGACTGGAGCCAGGTCAGCTTGATGCTGAAAGCATTGTGGGAAATGATGCTGGTGGAGAGAAGCATATGAAGCCTTATACATACTGAGCTGGAGATGACAGCTGGTCAGGTGGATGTGCTCTACAGGTACTTGACAATATAGTACTGGAGTGTGAGTGAGAGACCAGGGCTACATCAGTGGACTACATGAGTTAGTGTATAGGTGACACTTTGTGCAGTGTCTGCTGCATAAGAAGCTGTCATTGTTATCAGCATAGAGGTAACAGTAAACACATGGGGAAATGTGTTGGGGTTTTAGGAATGGATATTGAAAAAATTGACTACTGATCAGTGATCTGTCAGGAGATCTGTTTGTACAATTAGGAATCTTTTACTCCAAAAGCTAAGAGTTATGTCAAAAAGAAAAAAAGTAAACTTGACCTTAAAAGATCTAAGAAGCAGAAGAGACTCCTAGCAAGATCTCAGTCTTGACTGCATATTAGAAGCACTTAGGAAGCTTTTAAAAATCCCGAAGTTCAAGCCACACCCAAAATGCATTACATCAGAATCTGTGGGGGTAGGACCCAGGCATAAGTGTTGTACACAGCTCTCCAGATGGTTTCTCTGTGCAACCATGGTTGAGAACCAGGATTCTCTTTACAGGAAGATCAAATGTAACCAGCAAAACATGTGGGCAGCATCCAGGGGTTAACCCAGGAGGAATGCTTCCTGCATGTATGAAAGACATCATTTGCTCCACAAAGAAACATGAACTCCATGAGCACAATGCTGCCCTCCTGGGTGGATGGGGGAGGAGGGCAATGAAGCACAAATCCTTGGTGCTCCAGTCTAAGAAACTGCAGACGAGTAACCCAGACAGCTCAGAAGACAGCCACAATGAATCAGCTTTTAAGAGTACAATCATTCATAGAGAAGAGGAAAATGAAGAACAAAGGACTGAATGAAAATCTTTCAAGACTCAAAAGAAACATGATTCTTTAAGAGTTGATTACTTTAAGAAACAGCACATACACTAGAGCTGTATAATTTGAGATGCTTAAAAGGATGTGGGAAATACCACAATGCATTCCATCACTATCAGCACAGACATAATAAAAATTAGCTCTGACTCCATTCACACGCTAGGTAAAGCGATTTCATTATGGAGGCTCTGGAGACAAATTATTCAAGGCAAAAATTCTTTTCCTAATACATCTATTATGAAAAATCACTTATATATGCTTCAGCATTTAAAAATTACAGTAAATTATGCTCTGGTCTTTGTCAAATTCTTAATTACAAGTCAGGTGCAACTGCCAAGAGATTCCAGGGGAGGAATAATGCTACTTCTGTTTTGAAAACCAAAAATGTTCCTGGAAGCTTCTGCTAACAGTATTGTATGGGAACCATAACTTCCGGTGAAGTTCTAGGATAGGATGTTCTCACAGAGAGGTGCCTGTATGGTCTTCACAGTCTTACAAAAGGAAATCAGATACCAAAGGTCAATGTTGCATCTAGTAAGTGATCAAATGAGGAACTGACTTCATGTATGGTCAGCATTATACTAATCATTTGGAGGAAAATATTTCAGTATTAGATATTAGTGTGTTTTTTTTTTTCTTCTTTGTCATTGCTAGGCACACCTAAAGAACTTTCATAGAATGGTACAGGATTTCTATTACTATTAGAAAATTTCTATACTATTATAGAAATCATTACTATTATTAGAAAATTGCAAATTAAAGAATTCTACCTGACAAAACATTTTAAACGACACTAGAAAAATGTTGGCGTTCAACTCCCGAGAAATCTCAGTCTTTTTCTGATACTGGTGTGCAACTTGGAACTCAGATGACTTTGATGACTAGCACTTGCCCTGCACCGGATAGGGTTTGGAGCTTGGCCTAATCCACAACAGCTCTAGGCCTCTGTTTTGGGATGAAGTTGGAAATCCCCTTCTTTCTTGGTTTATTTTCCACCAAAAAAAAGAAAGAAAAAAAGAAAAAGAAAGAAAGGAAAAAAGAAACAAGAAAGAAAGAAGCTCTTCATATGATTTAAACAACAACAACAACAATTCCCTGTGTGTATAAACAAACTATTGAGCATTACAATAATTTCTGGAAGGCTCTACCTTCTGAACCATAGTTCAACACTGAAACTGATGGAAATAATAAGATAAATAAATAAAAAGCAAAACCTCAGAACTAGCTGGCACAAAACAAGTGCTGAATCCCTCACATTTTTGCTTTATTCTCTAAGAGTAGTAAAAGGCCCTTGGGTCATATTTTGAGTTTGTGGATGCACATGTACATACCATGCATTGAAAACAATTTGATGCTCTGATTTCTCAGACTTTGGCAAAGAAGCAACTTATAAAGGGAATGCTGACAGGCATGACAATGACCGGCATCCTAATAGGGATGAGAACATGGAGGACTACCGAAAAGCAAAAGCTCTCTACTGCTAAAGACATATCTGAGAGGAGAGAGAGCTGGGGGAGCAAGGTGGAAGGGTATAGAACGAGCAGTTGGTAAGATGCTAACACTCTGCAGGGAGAGAAAGAGGAAAAGAAGATTTTATGAGAGTCCCACCATGTGTTGGATGAAATAATCCCTTTTACAGCCCATTCCCTCAAGAAAACCTTCAGTGAAGACCCTCAAGTTGCTCTCCAGGGCTCTTTGAGTCTGTTTACTTCCTCTTAGTGTGACCTTGTGCAGGTCCTAGCTTCCCGTTGAGTCCTAATCAAGTGACCACAGCTCTGCACCATAATAGGCACAATGATCTCCGAAACCATGAAATCTCCTCAATGAGCTGTGTATATGAAAGCAAGGAGAAATATAATGTACTTATGAAGAGTTTCAGCAAATAGTCGGTTAAACAAATTCTCATGTAGTTAAAGTCATAGCTTTGATTACCTGGAAAATTCACATAAGGGAGCACATCTCCAACAATATTAGATAAATTAGGTGTTACTGCATTTAAATTCCTAGAAATGTTCACTTAAATAAACTTCTGGGTCCCCTATTTGGCATAATAAACCATATGGTATTTGCAAAGATCTTTTCCTTCTGGCAGAGCAGAGGTTGGGATTGGCATTATAAAGGTCCTAGAAAAATGAACCTTCACATTCCAAAATTTTGACAAATTTTAAGTGAGCACTCTAACAGCTGCAGAAAGCAGTGAGTCAAAGTTTCCAAAGCCCCTCTCTCTTCTGTATGTGAAAAGACCCATAAATGTGCTTGGAATGAGGAAAAACGTGGAAATACTACCAGGTTCCTGGGCATTCTGAATGAAGATCATTAAAATTTATTGTTGTCATAATTTTCACAATGTTATTCTCACACCACTTAAGGGGGTAAAATTCCACTTATGATAAAAAGGATCAGGCCACTTTAAAATATTAGTTTTACCAAACCTTCAGGAATACTGGTAGAAGAAGCTATTTGACTTAAAGAAACAGAAGATTCCTCCACAAAGGAAACGAGGCTAGCAAGTCCTGCTCTTCTATCATGTGGAATTAGTTACAGCTACTTCCACTGATATCAGGCAGTACATCCCAATCTCAAGATCAAACAGGGCCCATTGAAACAGAGTAGGCCAAAAAATGTGGAGATGATTCTTCCTGAAAATTAAAACCACCACAAATGCTGCTAGTAATTTAGATATATTTGGATTACACATGTCTTTGGAAAATGTTTAAATCTAAGCTTCTAGAATGAATTTTAGGACCACCATGGATTACTCATGTGCATTTGGATGCTAAATGAAGAAGTAAACTGGGTCACCATTTTAAATATTCGCACAAAATCAAAGAATGTTCAGCCAGTCTTTAAGAGCATACTTGGCAGGGCTCCTAAGAGAATCTGGTGATCTACCTTTTTCTGAGGAAGGATGGGCCTCAGAAAGAGCCTAGAATGGAGAACCTTGATGGCATGACTGATAATCTACATGGCTTCATTTCTTTAACCATGAACATCAGACGAAACTTTAGCAAAGGTTCATTTGTTTGTTTGTTCTTTTCTTCTCTATCACTCTTGTTTTTTTTTTTGTTTTTTGTTGTGTGTGTGTGTGTGTGTGTGTGTGTTACTGAGGATTGAACCTCCCAGGGTCTAGCACACCCCCAACTTTTTTTTTCACCTTTAAATTTTATTTTTAGACAAGGTCTTGCTAAATGGCTGAGGCTAGCCTTGAACTTGTGATCCCACTGCTTCAGCCTTCCTAGTAGCTAGAATTATGAGTATGTACTACTGTGCCCAGCCTAGCATAGGTTCTTACTAAAAAAAGACCTCCCTGAATGACGAAATGCCTAAGCAGCCAGCTCTGCAAATCAGTAAGGCGTGGATCCAGTTATGAATGACTCATATATGGACAAACTATGCTTCTTGGGAGAAAATTTCCAGAAAGAAAGAAAAAAGGATAAATTAACATTTCTTGGAGGTCTGCTAAGTTCCAGCATCACTAAAGGCATTTTTCCAAAAATAACCATCAGAGGTAAAGTGACTATCCTTATGTCCATTTTATAGAAAAAGAAATATTCAAGATCAGGGAAGGAGGTGAATTTACTTCAAGTCACACAGCTGGTAAATGACTAAGGTCAGCTATGTATTCCATCAGTTTTTTCCCCTATATCTTTGAACTTACTTGTAGTGTCAAGAATATTTCCTCTCACCTGGTGTCATCTGAACAGTTGTCTCCAACTCTTCCAGAGTTGGCCCATGCTCTTCCTTTCTGTGTCCTGCCTTCCCAAAGGCCTGTGTTGTGATGGCTGCTTTTTGCCTCATTCAATAAACCATTCTCCTTCCACCCACCCTGTGACTGCTCCAGGTACATGCTCAACTACCCTACCCCCAAAGACCCTTTCTTCACTTTCTCCTCTGCCTTTCCTTTCTCATCAACTCCATGCTTTGTGAAAAGAGCATGCCACACTCCTGGCTTCTACTTTACATCCTGCATCATTCTATAACTGGTCATAATCCAGTTTATTAGTTCATAGACTCTTTAGCAGAGATCGTTTATAACTTCACAATTTTAAGATCTAATGGCCTCTCCTCAGACCACATTCTTCTTGAAACCTTTGAGCATTTTTCTCTGTGAACTGCATCCCCTTGAAAACTGACTCCCCTCAAAAGACTTTCCTAATTCTATGCCCAAATCCATTGGCTCACCTTACTTTACTCTCCTCAGCCCATCACTTAAATATTGAGGCTCCCCATGTCACCATCAACTATTTTCTCTTCTTTTCACTGGCATTCCTCCCTACTTCCTCTAAACTACACTCTGGGCTTCAATTACCACCAGTACACTCAATTCCTGGCTATCAACCTCTACTTCACTCCATGACTATTTTTTCCAGATGTCTTTGTGTATTTCCAGCTGATGGCCCAAAGATTTCTCAACAAAATACATCCAAAACCAAATTCATTTCACCTCTCATTTCAAGTCTAACCTTCTTCTCCTTCTTGGTAAATGGTGCTGACATTTACCTAGCAATGTAGGTAGTAAGGACCTTCGATTCTGCCTTGACTCTTCCCTATATGGACTCAAAGTCCTTGTCTCTGCATCCAACATAACCCCTGCATTTATTCCCATGTCTTCACCCTGTGCCCCAGTCCAGCCTTTTATTCATCGTGTCACAAGGCTAACGTAACAGCTTCCCAAATGGTATCTTGGGCTCCAGTCTCTCATCTATTCTCCATACTGTCACCAAACGAATCTATATTTTTGTTATTCTTCTGTTTATAAGTTTTCAGAGGTTTCTCATGGATTTCTCATTGAGATAAGGCTTCACTGACCAACTGGACCTACTCTACCTTACCAACCTGAGCTTTCAGACCTCCTCTTCACTTGTAACTATTAACTTGCCCCTAACAATGCTTTTCATGCTTCTGCACCTTAGCTTATGCTTCCCCATTAACTAGAAAGTTCTTTCTTTGGTCTACTTGGCAGATTCCTATTCATCAGCATCTAAGGGTGACTTCATGTCTGTTATCCTCACCTTCCCCAAACACCCCACCCCCAACACTGAAGGAATAATTGTTCCCACATCTGCGTTCCCATACAAGCTCTTCATTACAGGACTAACAACAGAGTTCAGAGTCATTATTGACTCACTACACCTCCATGAACCCTTCAAAGGCAGACTGCATTATTCATCTGTATACCACCAGGGTTTAATCCAGTGCTTGGATCATAGTTGGATGCTCAATAAATCTGTGTTATGTGAACAAATTAATAGACCTGTTCCTGTCTGCAGTATTCAGTTAGGCTGCAGCTTCATTATCATAGCAATATGTGAAAACACATGTGAAATATCAAAGAACATACAGCGCTTTTAGTGATACCCTGGATGTTTGAATTTATATTGAAACAGTTTTAAATTTTATAGCTGTTAAAGTGTGAAAAATTCATTGCCTATAATAAGGATAAATATAGTCAATGTTCTGTCAGAATTATGTCTACCTTCCTTAAAAAAAGACTCATTTGTTATGTTTCATTTTTTACCATTCATTCATCCATTCATTTACTCCTTCCCTCCTTCATTCACATTCATTTTTCAAAAGAGTTTGAGTTTACAAATCTGAATTTATCTATCAATATGCTCTTTCTGCCCATTTAGCTTTCTTTTTGTTTTTCCTATCTAATACAGTTAGTGAATACTGAAGGGGAGAATATCTAAGTCCATGACACTGAATAATTTAAATTCAATATTATGTCTTGAGAATGGAGACTTTATTTTCCAATGTCTCCCCACTGGCACTTTATGAATCCAAAAAACTAACATAGTATTTTGTACCTTAGTATTTTCCAAGGTGTGTAAGGCACCACATAACATAACAATGAGTAAATTGTATGGAAGCCTGTCGTACTACTAACATTTATCCCCCTATTCATCATCTTTCTGCTAAAATGAATCCCCACAGAAACAAGCTGCTTTTAAGAGACAACAAATGCCACACAACATGTACCTGTGCCTACACTAGTCCTTTAGGAAGGAGAGAATATCTGACTTTGGGGCATACTCCTCAGAGAATTCACATGAGCAGTAGGTGGACCTACCTGGTGAGTTCTGAGGAGAAGACACGGGGGAGCCACGTGGGGACTGACAGTAGCTGGGGTGGAGTAAGGCATGTGGAGGCACATATGACATTATCTCTTCTTCAAATAAGCTGAAGAACACAAGAAACAAAATGCATACTTTAGTCAAAGAGGTGGGGGAAGCCTCATTTGCACAATGAGTAGGAAAGTAGGAGAGTCTGTACTCCACACAGCCCATCCCTCAGAGGTCCCTTGTTCTCCACCACCATGACTTACAGGTATTCTTCCATAGTTTTGTATTCTGAAACGTATCTATATAGAGGAATGTATAGATGAACAATGCCTCCTACATTGTTAAAAATTATATAAACTCTAAGTATATAGCATTCTTGATTTGTTTTTTCTCATTCAACAATATTGTTCTAATTCTGATATCTATGCATAAGGATCTAGTGTGTTCCTTTTGTCTACAATATAGCAGGCCATTCTATAAACATATCAGTTTATTTCTCTATACCTCTTTGGACAAATATTTACTTTTTTCAAAGTGCATACTTTTATCCTCTATGTGTCACCTTGTATATGTATAAAAGAGTTTCTTAGGTGTAAATGTAGCATATACCTAAAAGTAGTTTCTCAGTAAACACACATATGGCTTTTCAACTGTACAAAATATTATCCATATGCACTCCAAAGAGATTGAAGAAATCACAATCCCACCAAACCCAGGTAAAATGAGAGTTCCTATGTCTCATTTGGTATTATCAGAGTTTTTGAGTTTTACAATCTTCTATTGTGATATGGTATCTCATTATTTGAAATTGCATTTTTAGGATTATAAGAGTTTTTCCATGAATTTATTCGTGCTTCAATTTCTATGAAATGCATTTTTATATCTTTTTTCCATTTTTCTTTTGGGTTTCTTCTTTTAAAATATTCTAAGGGCATTCGTCATCTATTCATGGTGCTAACATCTACCTAGCAGTGTAGGTAGTAAGGATCTCGATCTCTTTGTTCAAGTGCTGTGAATATTATCCTTTCAGTTTGTTACCTTTCTTTATCCCTTGATATGTGGTATCTTTTATTATATAAATTTTGCAATTTTATGTGGCTAAATAATCAATCATTTCCTGTATGAGTTATGATAGAAGCATGAGTTTTACATGACTTGAGTTATTAAAAGGATACAGGGAATTGAATAATCAACAATAAGTGCCACGGGTCATTTAAAAATTCTTGTGTTTTATAATAGCCATGTTAGATGGTAACTTTACACAGGTTGACTTTGAGTTGAAAGTGTCATAGAGCTGTATTATTTCTACATTGCGGCTCACTGAAAATCAAGTACATTTGTACTGGGGTGATTTCCCTTCTTAAGAAACAGACAAAATACAAAAACCAACATAAAATCTTCCACTATGTACACAATAAATACTCTGCTTGAGTCCATAGTCACTGATTGAAGCAAATCCAATACCAAAGTGGTGTAAAAAATAAAGAACTGAGGATAAAAACAAAACACCCACATTTTTAATAATCATTAAACTACAAGCAGGTACGTATAACACATGTATCATTGTGTACTATTATTAAAATAATAAATACATTTGGTCACTCAAATGAAGTAAAACATTTTTAGGTAACAATAATGGAACTACTAAATAGAGGTAGATTTTTCATACCACTCTAAATAATCATTACCTTCAGAGAACCTGTGTATTTTCCTAAAAGAGAGGACAATGTGACCTTGCCCTTTATACAAGAGATTTCAGATACTGTTGAATTGAACCACATAATACATAGAAATTCATGCAAATTACAGTATTTATCAAAGAACAAAGTACAAATATTTGAAACTCTAGGGTAATAAAATATGTAAACTTAAACCATCTAGAGATTATTTAACTAAGGTTAGTTGAAGAATATTCATGACTTTTGCTTTATAATATAGTTCTTACTAATTCCAAAAGCAGAATTCTTAGTTTAAATGAAAAAATTAGATTTCTAGAATTAAGCAAAAGAGTCATTTTCTAGCCAGAATTTTGTAACAAAACTATTTTGTCACCAAACTCTGAAAGAAAGAAAGATCACACTCTGATGTTAACAGGCCAGTAGTCTTCCTGATCATGTAAGCACTAGATGCTGCTTTCAGAATTAGCTCAGTTTACCACAGAAGAGGAGCAAGGCCATCCCTAAAATGAGAAGTGACACCTCCCTTGCAGATTTTGTTCAAGGTCAAGTGGAGAAAAGTGGCTGTGGAAAGTGATGACATCCTTTTGAGTTATGCTTCAACCACACAAACAACTTTTGGGCAACAATACAAGGGATAAGCTTTTGGCAACAATCAAGTGGTCAGTGTGAAATATGGCAACATAGATAGCAACCATCAAGTGGAGAATTAGAAATGGCCAGAGTCAAGATCATCATAAAAAACATGAATGGTTGTTAGCACTCAGGGACAAATAAAACAACACCTCAGTGGCTCAGCATGACATTCCCTTAAATTCTTCAGAGGCCTCTGTGGTGGGTTTCCCAACCACTAGGTAGAACAGACCTTTATTTTACTCTGGCTTGCCTATATTTGAGAGATGATATTAAAACTGAGAAAGTCTTTTGAAAACTTGACAGTTTCCCTTCTGAACTACTCTAAAATTTAAAAACCAAAGCCAATCTAACCATCACAAAAGAAAATACAACGGGTCGACTTTATAAAGGGCTTTCAAGTTGGCAGTGAGTGCCAGGGACCAAATTTCAACTTTCTGATCCAACTTCCCAAACCTAAACTCATAAAACCACAAAGTAAATAAGTAATATCTTGAATCAGCAGAAGGAAACAAAACACATTTTGAGAAAAAAAGAAAACATAAAGATGACCTCTGTCCTGCCCTGAGGAGGTAAATCGTTTGTAGCTTCTCTGGTTACTCTTCTATTCCATTCTGACTAGGACATTGTATTCATTCATCTCTATAGTCTTTCCCTTCTCAAATACCACATCCTTTTTCCAGGAGGGTAAAAACAAAATTAAACAGATCTCTGTGGTAACAAATGTAATTTCTCAAATAAATCTTCAATGTATTTCCTTAAGTCTATTTTAAGATAAAGAAGACATGTTTAGGCTATCAATATTGGCATATTATTTTCTAAAATGCTTCCTAGTATCTATCAGGAAACTGTCTACTTCACCGTGTTACATACCTCAGCAACATAACAAGGTCTGCATCACTAGAAAGGCGTACCAATCCTGGGGTCCCTTCAGTTCGAATAAATTGGATCTTCTCCCTGTTCAGATTGGAAAAAAAAAAAAAAACAAGCTCAGAATACATGTGGAAGGCTTTAGGGATGTAACTCATTGTAAAGCACATTTTTAAAATAATTTCCAGAGCACATTTTGGCTCCTATTGTGTGGCAGTTACTCTGTAATCCCCTAGGAATACACATCCCATGGAGGACCCTGGGAACATCAACATCTCCTAGTTCTAACATGGGTGTGGAGGGTATTATGTTGTTGCTTTGAACATTTTGTTGACTAAGGACTGCTCAAGACGGTAGTACGATGGAGTCGTTAAAACCAGTCCCCTCTGTGAGTGAAGGCCATTGTGAGTAAAAATCTAAGCAACAGTTTTAGGCTGGTCCCCTGCTCTTCCATAAGTAAGTATTCACATTCATCCCCTGCTATTCTAAAAAGGGATTGTTAAGATCATTCATCTATTCTAAGGGTAGATCTAAAGTTAAGTGTGAGGAGCTCATTGCTACCTGGAAGCAGATAGTATCTATGCATTATAATTTCAATATAAATGCATAAGGCTTTTTTTTGAATCCGTTAAAAATAGAAACACTTAGTTACTACAGTTGATGAAACAGATTTTTTTTGTATATGGGCAAACATGTAACATACCTATACATATCCAACCCAGTGGTGTGAGTTATTTCAGGCACTATTTTATTATGAACACATGTGACAGCACCAGTTTTTTTTTTTGTTTCATAAGTTATCTTCATGTTACAGCTTTCAACTTGTATATAACAAGTATATATATAACAAATTGTATTGATATAGAACACAATTTTAATTTAAAAAATTCTCTTAGTTGCTTTCCCTTGTTTACCTAATGCTATTTCAAAGCATACCATGTTCATTTTTGTAAGATAGGGGAAAAAATAAAAACAAAAAACTGTGGTACTAAAACTATCACATTTGATTGGAACAGAGAGGCCAAGAAGATCTGCAATTTTACTCTGAGCACTAAGGACAATCTATTTTGATTACTCTACTACAAAATGAAAAGTCAGTCTCTGTATTTATTGAGATTTAGTTTTTATCTACAGAACATCTTATTTTTCTACTTGATATTTTCATAAAGTTCCAATGAATTTTAGGTTTACAAGTTCCAAATTCTCTTAAGATTGCCCACAGACTTGAAGGCAATAAGTGGACAGCAAGGCTTAATTATTCAGACAAGAATTTCCCATTACATCAAAACTGATTTGCCCTTAGCTACACAGATTAAGAGGTGTGATCTAGAGCTTAGTTCTTCGTTTCTTGTGGCTAGATCCATTTTACATAATGTTAATATACAAAGCATCTAATCTTTAGTATTACCAAATTTTCTTTTCTGTCCTTTATTGCCAGTAACTACCATTTTTTTAAAGAAAAGACTGAAGAAATGAATGATGGAGAGGTGCATAAAATAACTGCTCATGCCAGGCACGGTGGCACACCCCTGTAATCCCTGTGCTTTAGGAGGCTGAGGCAGGAGGATCACAAGTTCAAAGCCAGCCTCAGCAATTTAGTGAGACCCTAAACAACTTAATGAGAAAGTGTTTTTAAAGGGCTGCAGATATGGCTCAGTGGTTAAGTATCCCTGGGTTTAATCCCTGGTTAAAAAAAGAAAAGAAAAGAAAAGAAAACTGCTCAGAAGTGTAGCCTCCCAGCTGAGATTACTTTAACATGAAGGCTTGAATCAGGAAAGACATTTTCCCTCAAGTGGTCTGGAGCATGTGATGGAAACCTATGCCCATTATCTGGTGAATGGTTTTCTGATAAGAAATCTAAACACTGACTCAAAAAGGCTAAGTTAGAAAAATAATTATCTTGGAAAAAAATGAATAATTACTTAACCAAAGCAGTACTTGTATAAGGGTCAATAACAATATGCTTTGATCTTGAAGAATCAAAAGTTATCTCCAACCAATACACAGTTTATCTGCTTGACCTATCATCACAATGAAGTCAGGCAAATAGAACAAAACCAAAAACCAAAGAGCATGAGCATTCGTCCTGACTTAACTGCAACTGTATGAACGGGTCGAGTGATGAATGATAAAGAGCCTATGTTCTGGACTGTGGCCTGTAAGTTTCCTGTGAATAAGAAAACCAGCACAGCTCATCTGAGTCATAGGGATGATAAGATGAGGAAAGGAAAGGGGGAAGGCATCAGAGGAAGTATGCCAAATGGGAAATATTTCATCACTTTCCAGATATTAACCACTACGCAGTGGGCAACTAGTGTGATTCTTCAGGCAAGAACATACCAGAGACAGGCAGAGACTAGTTTCCTCCAGGCCAACTCATCTGACCCATAATGACGAGCCATGTGTCATATGCTTCCAGGAGCAGAAACGGGAACATGTCATCTGATGTACTGAGTTCTTTCTTCTATGAATATTTATGTGCTCTTACAGCAAACCTTTCCAGAGCACCCCCTATTTGCCATGCATGGTCTCACACACTGGGAATCCCAAGGGAGTAGGACAGAGTCACTTGTCAAAGAGCTTATGGTGCAGCAGAAGAGAGAAAGTCAATGTCAATTCTGTTATTGTGTGAAATTATGTCAATGGTTCTGTTCACTTAAGGGAACTCTGTTTTGGCCTTACACCTGTGCCTAGTCTACACAGTCCTTTTATGTAGAAGAAAGATATTGGTTAACTCTGGTCAAGAGCAGATCAAGGCTGAAGGAGAAAGAGAAGTCAGCAGACATCTCAGAAATGTCACCTCTTTTCTGAGAAAGAAAAAGGAACTGTTCCTTGGTTATCAGATATTTGCCTAATATTCTAGACTAGTGTTTCTCAAACTGGTGTCCTCGCCTACTAGAAATCTATAGACATGATCTGGAGTTTTCCAATCATTTTTAAATTTTGTATTTTCACTTTGGTGCTCAAATGAGCTAAAATGATAGAAGCATATTTCAGATAATAAGGATGACATTCATGACGAATGTCTGCAGTCCCAGGTCTGCAGTTACAAGGCACTTGGTGCCAAGCAATCTGAGATGAACTTTTAAAAGTACTAGTGAGCAGGACTGGCTGCTCTTAGGTCAGCAGGGCCTTGTTGTTAAATATGACAGCCACAGTTTGTTGCTCGTGCACAATTTTCTTACCAATTACAAGGACAAAACTTTTCTCTTGCAGCATTAATTTGCGTCAAGAAAATGATCAAGTGAGGCTAAGTCATGCAAGTTGCCATGGGCTAGAGAGAAAATAGAAGAGATGGATTTTAAAAGTAAATTATGCATTTATGCTAAATAATGCATCAAAGATGTCATGGCTTATTCTAAGAACAAAAGCTTTACAGTAGTTTGCAAATAGAAAACTTGTGGGTGGTAGAATCCACTCATCCTAGGGTGCATTTAGTGATATCTTTCTTCTTCAATATTTTATCTGGGGATATATAATTAAATAAATTGGCTTAATAAAACAATGAATCAGTAGATATAAACGTGTTTTTTGTTAAGAAGGAAAAATGATTATTGTGATAATGCTAAGGATACATGTGAAAGACTAGTAGAAGTAAAACCAGAAAAATCAATTCAAACACAAATAGCACAAAAAGCACAGATTGTCTTTCCACTGATGATGGTCTCAACATTGGTGATTTGGCTTCTGGAAGGCAAAAAAAAAAAAAATCTTCTTATATTACTCATTTGTTCAAACATTACTAATTTTCTTAGTTTTTATTTAATTTATCTTTAGGTTTATAATCTATAGAAACCATAAGCATAAGAGGTTTTCCCATAATTTACATTTGTACACATTTAAATTTCTTTTAAAATAAACTAGGGAAAGTCTACTTGATAGTTCTGTAACATTTCTTTTCCTTTTAGATGGAAAAATAACAGATTGAGTGCTATGAATTTCTGAATCCACTCAGTGTTTGAAATTTGCATAATTGGTCTGAGAAATGTTGCTAAAATATGTCTGATAGTGATTAGGGGGATGTCTGAATATTACTTTAATACATTTATTTACTCAAGTTTATTTTGTTAATATATAGAGTTAGGGACTCTGTGGCAGGAAGAAATTCTATTCATTCTTAGTGGTTTATAATGAAGATTATAATAAGTTCCTTTAGAAATTCGAATTTCTCAGAGCAAAAGCGCCTCCTCTTCCATCTTTGTACTCCCTAGATACCTAGCACTGTGATATGCACACAATGAGTTCTTCATAAGATACAAACTAGGCACATGAGCAGTTAATGCCCAAATAACATATCTGGCTTCTGACAGTCCACTTGTGTTTGGAATAAACAATCTTGCTATCATATTTTGCTTCGGCAGGGAAACAAAAAAAGAATCAGAAAGCTGATGTCAGATTATTTACTAAACCAGAATCCACTGGGGAGATTGCAAAGACAGGTGAAGAGGCGATTTATTTATTTATTTATTTTAAAAAAGGTAATCTCTTAGTAGGAAAACCCACAACTAGATGGTCAAAATGCTAAGCTGTGTAGTGACAACTTCAGGAAAAATTCCTTAGTTAGTGCTGTCTCAGAATCACAATGTTTAGGCCTCCTAACCACTTCCTCTAGCGCACAGGATCACCCCCAGAAGATCAACTCTGGCAGAAGATCATTTGAGGACAGCAAAGTCTCAAGACTAAAATTCCCACAGAAAATATTCTCACTGAAGCCAACCAACATTTTGGTGAAGTTAAGGACAGCACGTGTTTAAAAACAACTAGAAGCAGCAGAGCTCTAAACCGCAAAACTCTCTGGATTGTAAACTCTGCACACTCGGGTTCCTGCAGAAACAGTTTAGTAACACAGTCACCAGTACATATGCTTTTAAAACTGCCTGAGGGTAATTTTAGAGAAGTACCCTCGACTTCCCCAAAGATATACTGACACAAAAGGAAAGATAGCACTGATGTTCATACTCCCTATTAGAGTCACAGAGTGTTGTCTGACTTCCCTGCTAGAGCAAAGCAGTAGAAAGGTCAACTTTTCTTTCTACCTCCCATTACAAAGGTTAGATTTGGAGGTATAGGTCCATATGGTCATGTGA